ATTGTGTTGCCATTGGATGAAATTGATGGCATTAAGATTGAATCTTGCTGTGTGTTTAGATGTTGGATTGTATTTGTTTTTTCTTCTTATAGTTATGGATTTCTGTTTATTATTGTTTGGTTGGGATTGAAAATTTGACAATTCTATATGTAGGTGGTCCATATACTGCCAATTGGTTGCCATACACTAAGTCAATTAAAAAAATATTACTATTTTTATCCATATTTTTTTTTTCTTAATGTATGATTAAAAATACTATCATTTAAACTATAACATTATTTGTAATTGATCTAATGTATAAGTGAGTTCATACACTGGATCTAGATAAGTGTTTCCCTTTATTGAATTAATTCAATATATGGATGAAGCCATCCACCAGATAAATAAATATATATAATTATCGTATCATAAATCAAATCAATTTTTTTATTAGTTTAACGGTTAAATAAGAAATTAATCTCTTTCAAGCCGGATCGTGATTATGATATACTTAAGAACATGAATCTCTTATCAATTAAAAAATAATAATAATAATAATAAATTGTTAATTATTTTTTTCAATAATAATAATAATAATAAATTGTTAATTATTTTTTTCAAATATCAATTAGCATAGATTTTAATGTTAATTTTTTCCAACTCTTTCATTAATAATATTTGAAATTTCAGAAAAAAAAATACCGATTTATAATATATTAGATGTAAACAAGTCATTGGAATAGTTATTATCCATATCTTAACAACCATCTTTATGGCTACATACATTGCAACACGTTTTACAAGAGGATAAACTTTTTTTAAATTAGGTAATAATAAGACACCATTCATTGTATATTAATTTAGTACAAACAATAAGGATAATGTCCTGAGATTGAAAGGTTATAAATCTGATGATTTATACATTTGTAATCATTTAATTATTTAATTGTAATATATATTTATATATACTGAATTTTGAATTCAGTAAAATAGAAAGAAAAAATACCGATTTACAATATATTAGATGTAAACAAGTCATTCTCATATATTGGAGTAGTTATTATCCATATCTTAACAACCATTTTTATGGCTACATACATTACAACACGTTTTACAAGAGCATAAAACTTTTTTTTAAATTAGGTAATAATAAGACACCATTCATTGTATATTAATTTAGTACAAACAATAAATAATGTCCTGAGATTGAAAGGTTATAAATCTGATGATTTATACATTTGTAATCATTTAATTATTTAATTGTAATTAGCATTAGCATTTAACATCATGTTTTGAACCATGTGAAGTGACATCAATTTGAACCACGTGGAGAGAAATCCCCCACCACTCTCTCTATATATACTTAAAAGTATTTGATTGATTGTTCATCATATTTGTACTTCTACCATATCCTAATACTATTAGCCTCAAGCCCATAAAAATGGCTCATTTGGCTGAAGAAATTGTAAACCTAGATTCTGATCAGCAACTTGAAGCTCAAGCTCATATATGGAACCATATTTTCAACTTCATAAATTCCATGTCCTTAAAATGTGCAATTCAATTAGGAATACCAGACGCCATTAACAAGCATGGCAAGCTCATGACTCTTTCTGACCTAATCAATGCCCTATCTATACACCCAACCAAAGCGCATTGCATTCCTACCTAATTACTGCCCTATCAATACACCCAACCAAAGCGCATTGCATTCCTCGCCTGATGCGCATTTTAGTCCATTCTGGTTTTTTTGCTGTAGCAAAAATAGAAGAAAATGGCTGAGAAATAGAAGGGTATGTTCTTACTAATGCATCGAAGCTTCTTGTTAAGAAAATCCATCGAGTGTGACACCGTTCTTGCTAGCCATGCTTGATCCTGTTTTAACAGGACCATGGCATTATTTAAGCACTTGGTTCTAGAAAGATGATACAACCCCATTTCATATATTTCACGGAAACGAATTATGGGAATCTGCTGGTCAACATCCTAAGCTCAACAATTTTTTTAATGAAGCTATGGCAAGTGATGCTAGGTTGGTTATGAGTATTATGGTATTATGATAAAAGAATGCAAAGGAGTGTTTGATGGATTGAAGTCATTGGTTGATGTTGGAGGTGGAACAGGAACTGTGGCTAAAATTTTAGCTAATGCATTTCCTCACTTGGATTGCTTTGTCTTCGATCTCCCTCATGTCGTTGCTGGTCTTCAAGATGGTGAGACTTGAAATTCGTTGGTGGTAACATGTTCGAGGAGATTCCCCCTGCAGCTGATGCAATTTTACTGAAGGCATGTACTGAAATTTATGCTCTCTCTGTGCTGTCCTAGTGGGGCTTGAGTTATCCTTGTTGCTTGTTTTTGGTCTAATTAATATGTAAGGGATAATGGGCTCATAGTGTTTATTTAAGTTGTTTTGGGTTGTTTTAATGATGCATTGCAATCTGCCCAATATTAAGTTGGTCTATTTTGGGTTGGGAAATCAATTCTAAAAATTTTGTGTGTCACTAGTTAGGTCCCCACGGTGTGTTTTGGCCTTAAGGGGCAGCCTAGGTTAGATGCTGCTTCTTTTAGGGTTATGTTTGGTTTAAGGCATATAAAATAGCCTCCTTAAGATGTAAACGAAGGATTTTTTTTGGCATAAAATTGAAATCTAAGGCGCACGAATTTGTTCATGGCCCTTTAAGCATGTTTTCTTCTTAATTAGAGTGATTGTGAGAAATTTTGCTATCCTCTAATTGCTATCAAGGAATTAAGGTAAACTTATCAATTCGTCTTGGTGGCGTTTATTCTTGTTTCTTTGCTCGATTATAATTGGTGTTACAGTTTCAATTATAAACGTGGGGTGCCATAGAGCGTTTTAAATCTCGATTAATTGGTGTTTTCCCGTTTCAAATTGATTAAACGTGGGGTGCCGCATAGAGGTTGTTGGTGCGTTGGTGGTAACATGTTCGAGGAGATTCCCCCTGCAGCTGATGCAATTTTACTGAAGGCATGTACTGAAATTTATGCTCTCTCTTTTTTCTATCTTTTCTTTATTTTACTTGGTATTAAATGAAAGGTTTTCTTGCTTTTGAATGTCTAATCTCCTGCATGCTGCGCTGATATTCTGCTAACAATTTTTTAATTTTATTTTTGATCATAAACAGTGGATTTTGCATGATTGGAGTGATGAAGAATGCATAAAGATATTGAAGAAATGTAAAGAAGCAATTAAAGGCAGAAAAGGAGGAAAGCTGATTATTATAGATATGGTGATGGAGACCCACAAACAGAATAATGACTGCTTTTAGAAAAAGATTTTGACATTATTATTTAATACTACATGGATTAAATTAATAATTTCTGTCGAATTTACCTACTATACCCATTATAAATTGAAATAATTGTTTTGAAGAGAAAGATGAAATAATTATTTATATTAAAAAATTATTTTATTTTTTAGGTAAGACTTGTAGCCATCACATTCACAATTTCAAATTTACAAATTACAAAATTTTATAAATGTCATTATTTGAACATCTAATCAAACACAAATGGATTGTTTTATTGAGCATAGTATATAATAATTTAATTATGTAGACGTAAATTTTCATTAGATTTTATTAGCAAATATGAAAATACTATTTTCTTTTTCCAATGACATTGCAATTTATTGTATTTTATTTTATTTTAGGAAAGGTGCTTTTTAAGAAAAAAGATTTTGACATTATTGTTTAATACTAAGTGGATTAAATTAATAATTTCTATCGATTTTACCTTCTACCAATTACAGATTCAAATAATTGTTCTCAATAGACAGATGAAATAATTATTTATAAGAAATGATTTTAGCAGAAGGAATCAATTTTTCGGATAAAAATTAATTCATTTTCAAATAGGATAATAAAAAATTATTCCAAATTTTATTATTTTCGGATCCTTGCTACATTGATATCCACGGAAGAGTTTCAAAATACCAAATTTTAGAAGAGGAAAAAGTCGCACTGACAACCTCTATTGATACAAGAAATTTATCCAAACTTAATCTAAACTATCCAACCACAGGAAATTCACAATTTATTCATACATTGAACTGCCAACAAAAATGAAATAACTAAAATATAACCATAAAAAATTCACAATTCATTCGTACATTGAACTGCCAACAAAAATAAAATAAAAAAAATCCACGTGGAAACTCCCTAGTAACGATGAAAAAAGATTAATAAATTAACAAAATCAAAAACACATAACCTTACAAAATCTTACTAGATTTAGTTCTAAAAAAGAAAAGCACAACTTTTTATTGAAGAAAAAAAAATGCTTGTCCTTATCAAATCTAGCTAAATCTTGAGGAACATGAGTATTATTCAAACAATATACACATGTTAAACATATAAAATTAATTAATTCCGACACAAACCAACGTCATTAACAATAATTCTGCTAGTATTAATTAAGCTCCAGGGCAATATATATAGAGAGAGGGAAAGGTTAGAAGGTGTGTGTATCAACTTATCATATAGTTAGTACTAATTAAGTACAGCTAATGGATTTGGTTACTAGAGAAAACATAGATGAGCTACTCAAAGCTCAGTCTCATATATGGACTCATTCTCTGCAATTCATAAAGTCCATGTCTCTAAAATGTGCAGTTGAACTAGGCATACCTGATGCTATTAGCAACCACCATGGCCAACCCATGCCTCTTTCTGACCTAGTTTCTGCTTTACAGGTTAACCCTGCTAAAACTCACCATCTTCACCGTCTAATGCGAATTCTTGTTCATTCTGGTTTCTTTTCTTTAAAAGAAGATGGCTATTTACTTACTGCATCCTCTCGTCTTCTTCTAAAAGACACTCCTTTAAATTCAAGACCTTTTATATCTCTTGTTCTTGATCCTATTCTAACAGAACCGTATAATTGCATGAGCAAATGGCTTAAAGATGATCATGATCAAACACCGTTCGTAACTGCATTTGGAGAGTCGCTATGGGAACATGCAGGGCATGAAATTAGGGTTAATAACTTGTTTAATGAAGCAATGGCTAGTGATAGCTTTTTAATTAGTGAGGCGGTGATAGTCAAGTGTAAGGAGGTATTTGAAGGGTTGGATTCTTTGGTTGATGTTGCAGGTGGAACTGGAAATATGGCCAAGGCTATCGCTAATACTTTTCCAAATTTGAAGTGTACTGTTTTGGATCTTCCCCATGTTGTTGCTGGTTTACAGAAGTGTACTGTTTTGGATCTTCCCCATGTTGTTGCTGGTTTACAGGGCATTAAGAATTTGAATTTTCTTGCTGGGGACATGTTTGAGGCTGTTCCTCCTGCTGATGCAGTTTTGCTCAAGGTATACCAATTAGTTTACTCTTATTTATTTATTTATTTATTTTTTATTAACTAGAGGTATCCTAATCTACTGGATTAAGACTAAATCATGCACACGTCTAGTCAACCCACGAAAAGGTAAATGCTCAAACCAAATATTTACGACATCCATAAAAATCAAACCTTCAATCTTACTTAAAAGGAGAAAAATATTAAACTACGCATACACACACAAACATAAGTTCAAAATAATTTACTTAACACTTGGAAATGTGAAAATTTGAATTTAGCTAAACACAGGACAGAATGAAAGCTTCTCTGTTAGAAAGATGCTTAAGAATGGCAGGGGATTCTCTGCTTCAACACAATTAAGACAAGGGGATAATATAAAGTTATAAACACACACTTGTAATTCCCATATTCGCATCTCCTCCTTTCTTGCTTCTGATCTGGAACTTCTCTGGACTTCAAAAGTAACCTCTAAAAAAAAAGGAATTTCATAAGTTTACCAATTCATGAACAAATTACAATTATTTCCTGGTTGGAAGAAACTGCAAACCCAAACATTTATATGTTAATACAAATTCAAGAAAAACAATGCAAAATTGCAAATGCATGTCTAAAAATTGAACCTTTTTGTATACAGACAATTATTGATGGAGTTGGATCCACTCGAACTTAACTTCTTTTGAAGCAGAAGTAAAAATTTTTAGAATCTTGAGTTTTAAATTTATTTGCAGTAATTGTTTAGTAAGTGTAAATGAACCGAGACGGTTAGAACTTGGCTGGAAAAAAGTTCGAAAAAGCATGCAAAGTAAGTTTTGCCCATATGCAATTTAAGATTATCGAACTTGATCGAGCTTTTGTATATATATGTACCATATTTATTTTAGGCTTATTTGAACCTCGAGCCCATCTCAAATTTAAAATTTTTCGAGTTGAATTCAAACTTTAAGTTGAATTTGAGCTCAATTAGAATTTTCAGACCGTCGAGTTTCAAGCCGAACTTTGAGCCTCACAAGGTCAAGCTCAGCTCCATTCATTTATACCCTTAACTACAATGTTCAATGAAAACGATTTTCAACTTGTTAGACATGCTCATAAATTGGTAAGTCTTTCATTACTCTAGTAAAGCGTCTTCCATTCCATTTCCTTCAATAAGGGGCTGCAAAGTAAGTTTTGCTCATATGCAATTTAAGATTAGCAAATTTTTTTTTTTTTTTTTTTTTTTTTTTTTTTTTTTTTTTTTTTGGTAATACAAGGAGAAATCAAAACTACAGAGTGCGCCTACAATAGGCAACACCTCTTGAATCATGATAAAGCCAATTACATAAAGCAGGAGGACATAAATCCAAGATATGGGTTCTATCTTGTGACAGAGAAGCATTAGCAGCCAACCAGTCAGCACAACGGTTGACTTCTCGAAAAACGTGGGAAATTTGGCAAACTCACTCTCCTTCCAACAATCGATGAACACTAGCCACCACGGCCTGGCAACTCCCTGGCACCTCCCCTTCTTTTCTAACCATCTTAACCACAGTAAGGTAATCACATTCAACCTGCAATTTAAGATATACTCACAGGCAATGAGATCATTGCCCAGTCCGTAAAGCGTCTTAATCCCAAGTGAAGGTCATGAATTGCTTCATGTGCCAAAGTTTTTTAAAAGGCAATGTTTTGCACTATTTTGAAGAATTGTTTGTTTTATTTGCCAATGTTTTCTAAAAGTAATTAGGCAAGAAAAAAACAATCAAGCTATTGTGAATAACGCTTATCAATTGAAGGTTAAATGAGATATGGGACTCCTTAAAAAATCTCCCTCACCAAATACTAAAAGCCATAATAATTTATTATCATAAAAAAAATCTCCACGCTCTCATCTCTCTATATATACATGTTTGATCATATTTGTATCTCTATCATTTCAAAATACTATAAGCCATAATAATAACAACATCCTTAAAATAGTTTGTAATGTACATTTGTGATGCTACTCACTGTCATCTAACTAATTAATTTTTTTTAGCAGCAGTTACAATAATTCAGAGCCCATTCAGGCGCAGTACGATTCATTAAAAAATCCATTAGGAGCAATAAAACCCACAAAAGAGAAATAATAAAAATTAAAATTAAAATTAATTGTTATAAAATCAAGGATTTAATTTGGTGAGAATAAAAATTAATTATTTCAGAGAATAAAAATATTGACAATTGAACTTATATATCAATCTACTTATATACAAAGCTAATCTAATAAACGTATTTGTTCGTATGGTACTGCTCAATGTGTTACCCCTAATATGACGTGGATATAAGTGGATATAATTGTTTTTCGTTAAAAAAATAAGTAAACAAAAATATATTTTTAAATGACAATTACTATTCACCAAATTTAATAAATATATTTATTTATATGGTATTTGCCTACCTAATATGACGTTGATATAACTGCTTTTTCGTTAACAAATAGTAACAAAATAATTTTTTTAAAATGACAATTAATTATTCATGAGCAAGCCTCGTAAATATTTTCTAAATACAACAACGCATGAAATAATATTTAAAAAAAAGAATAATTAGAAAATTTCAAAAACAATATCAAAAAGAGTAAATCACAATTATTTTTTTATTGTTTTTGTTTTAGTATCAAGAGGTATTAATCCTGTCCCATGGTCTGTCTCTTATGCTTACGGGGATGGATTCAATTACTGTTTTTTATTCAATATAAATATAAAAAATAAAAAAATAAAAATCTCCTAGTTTAGTGGAGTGCAAGAAGATAGGACTTTGATAAGTTAGTGGAGTGCAAGAAAGATAGGACTTTGGATTTTTTGAGTGGGACGCAGAGGGAAAGAAACAGCGAACAGAGACAGAAAAATTCCTAATAAAAAGGAAAATAAAATATAATAGTTATTGATTAGAAGAGTTGCACACCGTTCAATACAACCAGACGGTCATGAGTCACTCGATAAATATAATAATAAAATATAATTGTCATATCTCATCATAATTTATATCTCTACGAACCATATCCCTAATACAATTAACAACACAATAAAATGGCTGAAGAAATTTAAACCTAGATTCCTGATCAGAACAACTTGAAAGCTCAAGCTCATATAATGGAACCATATTTTCCAACTTCAATAAATCCGCATGTCCCTTAAAATGTGCAATTCAATTAGGAATAACCCAGACGCCCATTAACAAGCATGGCAAAGCTCAATTGAAATCTGTTCTGACCTATCAATGCCCCTAATCTATACACCCAACCAAAGCGCTCATTGCATTCCTCGCCTTGATGCGCATTTTAGGTCCCATTCTGGCTTTTTACTGGTAAGCAAAATAGAAGAAAATGGCTGAAGAAAATAGAAGGGTAGTTTTACTAATCATCGAAGCTTCTTGTTAAAGAAAATCCATCCGAGTGTGACACCGTTCTAAGCTAGCCCAATGCTTATCCTGTTTGAACAGGACCCATGGCAATTATTTAACACTTGGCTTTCTTGAATGGTGACCAACACCATTTCATACATCGCATGGAAAGGCATTGTGGGAATATGCTGAAGATAATCCTAATCTGAACAATCTTTTTAACAAAGCTATGGCAAGTGATGCCAGGTTGGTTATGAGTATTATGATAAAAGAATGCAAAGAAGTTTTTGATGGGTTGAAGTCATTGACTGATGTTGGAGGTGGAACAGGAACTATGGGTAAAGGCTTAGCTGATGCTTTCCCTCACTTGGATTGCGTCGTTTTTGATCTCCCACATGTCGTTGCTGGTCTTCAAGATGGTGATAACTTGAAATTTGTTGGTGGCAGCATGTTTGAGGAGATTCCTCCGGCTGATGCCATTTTACTAAAGGCATGTTCCTAAAAAGGCATGTTCGTTTCTATCTTTTTTCTGCCTTTAGTAAAATGACATCAGTCGGAGGAATCCTCCTCAATCATGCTGCCACCAACAAATTTTCAAGTTATCACCCATCTTGAAGACCAGCAACGACAATGTTGGGAGATCAAAAAACGGCAATCCAAAGGTGAGGGGAGGAACGTTTTCACTCACTCAAGAAGAAAAGAAAAATCACACACAGAAAACCTTGTTACCCAATGATGCTCTAGACATTACAACCTAAAAACGTCTTCTCTTTGATTTTTCCGTTAACCAACCGTAACCCCCACTGTTGTTGTTATGGAAGTATGAAGAAGATAAACAGTATGTGTTTTGTCAATTGCCTTCATTAATCCAGCGACAAGCGTTTTTGGACAGGGCATAGATATTTCTTGACTATAGTTGATGATCATACCAGATTCTTGTGGGTCTACCTGCTAAAAGAGAAAAATGAAGTTAGGCCTTTAGTCAAACAATTTGTTAAGATGGTAGCAACACAGTTTGACAAAAGGGTTAAAAGCATCTGATAATGGTGCAGAATTCTTGATGAAAGATTACTATGCAGCAGAGGGTATATTACATCAAACTACTTGTTCAGAAACCCCAGAGCAAAATGCAGTTGTAGAACGAAAGCATCAGCATATACTCAATGTCACAAGAAGTCTTTTGTTTCAAGCTAATTTGCCAAAGAATTTTTGGAATTTTGCTGTATTGCATGCCACTTATCTCATTAATAGAATTCAGAATTCCCACTCCCCCTTAAATTGCAGGAATGCTCTCCATATGAAAAGCTTTATCAATAAGCCTGCCCAGATCTTTCAAATCTTAAAAGGTTTTGGAAGCTTGTGTTATCGGGAAGCTTGTGTTATGCAAATACTTTACAGGCTGGGAGAACTAAGTTAGAGCCTAGAGCTCAAAAGTGTGTGTTTTTAGGCTACAAAGAGGGTACCAAAGGGTATTTAATGCAATTTGCATACTAGAGGATTATTGGTTTCAAGGAATGTTATATTCTATGAAACTATTTTTCCTTATTCTGCAACTCAGTTTCAACCATTATTGCCTCAACTTAATGACACATATGCAGATGCAAACTATGTTCCTATATCACCTGCAGCAGATGCAGTCAATGCAACAGGTGTAGTTGATACTCTTATGCAGCTTATGCAGAATGATGGCCTCAAGACGATCCCACAAGGACATAGGAGAGCCCCTCATATTTTGCAGGAATTACCATTGTTTGGCAGTAATCATAATCACACTACCGCCTATTGCTTCTACACAACACTCTATTTCCCCAAGTGCCTTACCTATTCTCGTTGTCTCCTTCCTACAAACATTTTATTTTTAAATGTTTCTTGTCTCAAGAACCAAAAACATATAAACAAGCCTGTTAAAACATCTTGTATGGAGGGAGGCTAAAGCTATGGATAAGGAGCTTGAAGCCTTGGTTTTAAATAATACCTGGACTGTGGTTCCTCTTCCACCAAATAGGGTACCTATTGGCTGTATAAAACAAAGTTGAAGTCAGATGGTTCTATAGAAGGCATAAGGCTAGACTAGTTGCCAAGGGTTACACACAGGTTGAGGGCCAGGA